TATTCCCAGTAACCTCAGGGCTCAATGCATGAGCTGAAGCTGCCTTCTTTTATGTTTTTGACACAGGGTCTCACTCTGTCACCCAAGCAGGAGTGCAGTGGCATGACCATAGCTCATTGCAGCCTCAACCTCCCGGACTACAGTGACCCTCCTACTTCAGCCTCTAGAATAGCTGGAACCACAGGTGTGTGCCATCATTTCCAGCTAATTAAAAAAATTTTTTTGCAGGGGCCAGGTGAGGTGGCTCACACCTGTAATCCCAGCATGTTGGTGGATTACCTGAGATTAGAAGTTCAAGACCAGCCCTACCAACACAGTGAAACCCCATGTCTACTAAAAATACAAAAAATTAGCCGGGCATGGTGGCTGGCACCTGTAATCCCAACTACTCAGGAGGCTGAGGCAGGAGAATCACTTGAACCCAGGAGGTGGAGGTTGCAGTGAACCGAAGGTTACAGTGAGCTGAGATTGCACCATTGCACTCCAGCCTGGGTGACAAAAGCAAAACTCTGTCTCAAAAAAAAAAATTTTTTTTGTTGAGACAGGGATCTCCCTATGTTGCCCAGGCTAGTCTCGAACTCCTGGACCCAAGTGATCCTCCTGCCTCAGTCTCTCAGTGGTGGGATCACAGGCATGAGTCACCACACCTGCAAAATTGTCTTCTAAACAAATTGCCTTTCTTAACAAATATGTAGGTTAGGCATGGTGGTTCATGCCTGTAATCCCACCACTTTGAGAGGCTGGAGGATTACTCGCACTCAGGAGTTTGAAACCAATCTGGGCAACAGAGTGAGGCCTCGATTCTACTTAAAAAAAAAAAAAAAAAAAAATTTGGTGACTCATACCTGTAATTCCAGCACTTTAGGAGGCCAAGGCGGGCAGATCCCCAGAGGTTGGGAGTTTGAGACCAGCCTGACCAACATGGAGAAACCCCATCTTTTACTAAAAATACAAAGTTAGCCAGGCATGCTGGTGCATGCCTGTAATCCCAGCTACTTGGGAGGGAGGCTGAGGCAGGAGAATCACTTGAACCCAAGCGGCAGAGGTTGTGGTGAGCAGAGATTGTGCGATTGCACTCCAGCTTGGACAACAAGAGCGAAACTTCGTCTAAAAAAAAAAATATGTGAACACATACACATACCTTGAAAAGAGAAGATAATGTGGACAAGGTGCTTTGAACAGGCAATAGGAACAAAATTGGAAGCAAGATTCTTCTGAAGGTGCTGTAATGGCTGAGTGGTTAAGATACAAACTTATCATCTTCAACAATTAATTTGTCTTCTTATCTTTCTTACATTTTCCTTCCCCTTTACACACATCCAACACTTAAACTAGTATCAGGCATGGAGAGGACCACAGTTAAGTACTCATCAAATGAATACCATAAATAAATGAATAGCTGGAGGAAAACTACTCGCATAAGGGAATACAAATTTGTACAATATGTTTATCTTTGCTATTAAGTTTACACGTGTGACCAGGTGCTGTGGCTCGCGCCTGTAATCCCAGCACTTTGGGAGGCCGAGGCGGGTGGATCACAAGGTCAAGAGATGGAGACCATCCTGGCTGACATAGTGAAACCCCATCCCCATCTCTACTAAAAATACAAAAATTAGCCAGGTGTGGTGATGCATGCCTGTAATCCCAGCTACTCAGGAGGCTGAGGCAGGAGAACTGCTTGAACCCAGGAGGCAGAGGTTGCAATGAGCTAAAATTGGACCACAGCACTCCAGCCACTCCGGCCTGAGCAACAGAGTAAGACTCCATCTCAAAAAAGAAAAAACGTTTACATGCGCCTAATTTGTAATGGACAGTTGATGATCATTAGCTCAGCTAATGATGATCCCTTCCTCTGAGAGACAGACTGACTCTTCATGGACATACAGAGTGGGGACTGTCAAATTCTTAAGGGATTCAAGTCCCAGTTGATTTGCCCAGTTGGAATCAGGTATGCAACTCCTCATTCCTTATGTCTAGCTGATTAATTAACCTCCCCTCATTTTTTTTAAAGTTTGTATTTGAGAGAAAAGAAAATGCCAGATAGTGGTACACACAGAAATACTTAATACTTGGGAACTGTTAGCCACCATGTCCTCTACCTACATCATTGAAGAAGTTCATCTGTAAAAAAGAATGACGCTAGCCAGGCGTGGTGGCTCAAGCCTGTAATCCCAGCACTTTGGGAGGCCGAGGCGGGTGGATCATGAGGTCAAGAGATCGAGACCATCCTGGTCAACATGGTGAAACCCCGTCTCTACTAAAAATACAAAAAATTAGCTGGGCATGGTGGCGCGTGCCTGTAATCCCAGCTACTCAGGAGGCTGAGGCAGGAGAATTGCCTGAACCCAGGAGGCGGAGGTTGCGGTGAGCCGAGATCGCGCCATTGCACTCCAGCCTGGGTAACAAGAGCGAAACTCCGTCTCAAAAAAAAAAAAAAAAAAAAGAATGACGCTAACAGGAAGGATGGTCTCCAGGTCTACTAACTCAAAACTCTATCCAGACACTTCTGTCCTCCTCATGATTTACATATTCAACTTATCCTTCAGTTAACATACCTGTGTCCTTTCTTTTTTAAATTAAGTTGTAATAGAGAGGAGGTCTCACTATGTTGCCCCAGTTGGTCTCAGACTCCTGAGCTTAAGTGATCCTCTCACCTCGGCCTTCCAAAGTGCTAGAATTACAAGTGTGAGCCACCACAGCCGGCCCATACCCCATATCCTTTTCATAAATTCATCTTTTGCTTAAACTAGTTCAAGTAGGGTTTTGTCAACAGTAACAAAGCACTGATTAATGCAACATTCTGTAAATACTGCACAAGAGAATCATCTTCAGATTTCTTTTATTTATTTATTTATTTATTTTCTTTACTTATTTTTTAAAGACGGGGTTTCACCATGTTGGTCAGGCTGGTCTTGAACTCGCAACCTCAGGTGATCTGCCCACCTTGGCCTCCAAAGTGCTTGGATTACAGGCGTGAGCCATCATGCCCGGCCAGATTTCTTAAAACTAATGCTACCACTACAGTTCAAAAAAATGAAATCAGAATCTCTGCAGTGTGGGGTCTGGGCATTAGTCATTTCAAAAGCTGCTTAAAAGGTGATCCTTCCAGACATTTCACTTCAGTACATCAATCTTTTGAGAATATTCATTATAAGCAGATGTGCAGAGATATATTCTAACACAAGATTAAAAGACCTTACATTATGCTTTTAAACTTGTGTCAACCATCAGACCACTAGAGCTTCTTCATTCCAGTCTAATAGCAACAGTTCATATCAGAACCCTTTAGGAATTTATGTCAGGTCCCACTCACAGATCTGCAAGACCAGATCCTCCCCAGTGGCATTTTGTTGTTGTTGTTGTTGTAGAGACACAGTCTCACTATGTTGCCCAGGCTGGTCTCAAACTCCTGGCCTAAAGACATCCTCCCACCTCGGCCTTCCCAAAGTGCTAGGGTTACAAGCATGAGCCACTGTGCCTGGGCCCCAGTGGCATTTTAATACCTCAATGCCGACCCCCCCCCCGACCCCACCCTACCTAACACACACACACACATTCTTACGTAAGTAGTGTTGTGGCTCTTATGTGATTTTTTTTTTTGAGATGCAGTCTCGCTCTGTCACCCAGGCTGGAGTACAGTGGTGCAGTATCAGCTCACTGCAACCTCTGCCTCCTGGGTTCAAGCAATTCTCTGCCTCAACCTCCCGAGTAGCTGGGATTGCATGAGCATGCCACTACATCCGGCTAATTTTTGTATTTTTAGTAGAGATGGGGTTTCAACAGCTTGGCCAGGCTGGTCTTGAACTCCTGACCTCGTGATCCACGCTCCCACCCTCAGGCCTCCCAAAGTATTGGGATGACAGGCGTGAGCCACTGCGCCTGGCCTCAATGGCTCTTAATCTTGAGAATGTATAATCACATAGGCTTCTTAAAATACAGCTTGCTGGAACCTACACCTAGAACTTTCTGGTTCAAAGGTCTCGGATGGAGCCAGATAACTTTTTTATTTTTCTGAACTTATGGATTATACTGGAACTTTTTATTTCTAGGAAGTCTTCAGATAATACCAATGCTGCTAGTCTAGGACCATACACTTTGAGAAGCATTGGCCTACATTTAAAAAAATGGCAGGGAGAGAACCTCAGATACACAGTCAACTCTACTTATACCTTGGTGGAGGAGGTGATGGGCAATGGGAGGAAGAAGAGAAGAAAGTGCTCATATAAAATCTGATTAGCTAGGGGTAGTGTGGAGTTAATGAAAGGGACTTAGTCCTCACAGTCATTCAAAGACTCAGACTGACAATTGTTGCCATCTTCAGTGGCTTCCAGACTTATCCCGGATATGGCCATCCAACCAGCAGATAGAAGAGAATGAAGGATCATGCAAGAAATGTTTATGGGGCAAGCCTGGATTCTTATGCCCACATTTCGCTCCCTAGAACTTATTCACATGTTCTCACAGAGATGCTGGGAAAGCAGGGAAATGTCCCTGGCTGGGTTGCTATATCTCAGCAACTTATCTTCAAAGAATCTTTAGTAGACACCTAGCAGTCTGCCACCAAACCCCTATTCCATTGTGGACATAAGCAAGTGTGACTTTAGCTTTAAAGAAAATGTGTAGCTAATAACAAAGACATCTTAATTACTAAAACTAATGTCTGTAACTTAAAGCGACCAAAGGACTTATTACCTGAGTGACTAGAGAAAAAAACAACCCATGGGACTTCCCTGGAAGAGTCCATTCAGGATAGAGAGAAAAGACTGAGATAGTGGGTTTACAGGAACAGTTATGAGGGAAAAAAAAAGTTTCTGTTTTATAACTCTACTGGGTTCCTCTCTATTAACATGTTATACTACTTTCTGGAGCTTAAGCAAAATTTTTAATTGATTAAGTCTAAAGATCTCAGTTTTACATTTACAGAGCTTGATGTCTATTACTTATCGGTCATTCTTAAAGCAAATGATAAATCCCCTTTTCAAGGATGAAAACTGCTATTATTGAGGTTATCATCAAAGTTTTACTGCAACTCCAAAACATAGGAATGTCCTGTACAACAGCAGCTAACACTTTGCTTTCTAAAGAGATTATTCTTAGTGCAGGGGTACTCATTTGCCTATGCTTGTTATACAGCAAAATTACTGCCTATGACATCTCATAACTGAAAAAATTGGAGTCAAGATTAAAGCTGTTTACATTTTTAGTGAAACCTCTCTTAAGACTGTCCAAAAGAAAATAATATATGATGCTATTTATCAAAAGTAAAAAAGAAAAGAGAAACATCTTTCATGGTCTTTCATTCATTTCATCAATTAGGACACACAAGGCAGCATCTTTCTCTATAATCTGATCTCTCCTATGACCTAAATTTTCTCTTTCTTGTTCATTCTGTCCAGTACAATTGTTGCTATCATCAGCATCCATTGGTTCAGTTTTTACTCTCATTCCTGCTTCTGAATGAGGCAAATCATCAGGCAAAGAAGCCAAGCAATTCTGAATCATTTCAATTACTCGTTCCAGGTGCTTTTGAAACCTCTCAGCTGTTTCAAGCCGTTGACGTTTCTGGACCTCCATCATGACTCTCAAGGTCTCTCTTGCTTGGTGGGGTCGGTATTCATTTATAAGATGATGCACATGTACAAAAAGCAGCTTAAGATCTTCTAGTTTCTCTTCTCGTTTTATACTCCCAGGGCTTCTTATTAATATATCTAAAAGGTCCAAGAAATTAATAAGGATAGACATATTAAGTTTTCTCAGTTCTTTCTTGTGATCAAACTGCATAGGATGAAGCCGTTCGATGCCCTGACTTTCCAAAGGGCGGATGATAAGATCATCACATTGGAACTGATTGCCAAACATCATATAACTGTCTTTTATTGGAGGGGGAGGCTTGGGAGCTAAGCCTTCTTGAATATTTTCATCTGTATATTCTTTGATATATTGCATTGGAGGTGGTGGGAGTGCACTCACTTGCTGTGGTTCACCCATTGTGGACTATCAAGAACCTACAGACACAGACCAAAGATTTATTAGAGTAGAGCCAAGAAACGAACCTGTTACATTTCGTAACTAGAGAAAGAATATTTTCTTCCTTTTCTTCCAGTTGTTTGGGGCCCAAGACAAGAAGATCTCGTTGTTTTTTGTTTTTTTTTTTTTTTTTTGAGACAGAGTTTCACTCTTGTTACCCAGGCTGGAGTGCAATGGCGCGATCTCGGCTCACCGCAACCTCCGCCTCCTGGGTTCAGGCAATTCTCCTGCCTCAGCCTCCTGAGTAGCTGGGATTACAGGCACGCGCCACCATGCCCAGCTAATTTTTTTGTATTTTTAGTAGAGACGTGGTTTCACCATGTTGACCAGGATGGTCTCGATCTCTTGACCTCATGATCCACCCGCCTCGGCCTCCCAAAGTGCTGGGATTACAGGCTTGAGCCACCGCACCCAGCTGATCTCCTTGATTTCCAAAACTAACATTTATGATAGGGAAAGTCTGCCATCTTTTCTAAATAGGCATTATATTCTCAACCATTCGCATATTTTCCATTCTCTCCTTAATAATTTCATCAGCTTAAAAAAAAAATATCTTTTCATCTCTAAAGAAAATCTTCTCGATTCCACACCCCTTACCACTTATGGCCCATTTCTCTACTCCTCCGTAACCAAACTACACATGTTGTCTCCCAATCTCAGGTCATAATCACTTTTGCTCTGTTACAGATTAATTTTTAATAGCAAACACTTACTTGTATCTCTCACACTCTGACAAAATTAACATTGCTAAATCCTAAACCTGGTATGATCCAAAGTTATGATGATTCAGTTCCATATCCTTTTTGTCACAGTGTGATCAAGGCTCACTATGCAATTTTATATGGACACATTAACTTTTGGTTTTTGTTTTTTTTTTTTTGAGATGGAGTCTTGCTCTGTTGTTCAGGCTGGACTGCAGTGGTGCCATCTCAGCTCACTGCAACCTCCAACTCCTGGGTTGAAACAATTATCCTGCCTCAGCCTCCAGAGTAGCTGGGATTTCAGAAATGCACCACCATGCCCAGCTAATTTTTGTATTTCTAGTAGAGACAGAGTTTCACCACGTTGGCCAGGCTGGTCACTAACTCCTGACCTCAGGTGATCTGCCTGCCTTGGCCTCCCAAAGTGCTAGGATTACAGGCGTCAACCACCACGCCTGGCCAATATTTAAAAGCTTTTAACCTAAATTCAGATTACGGAAAAAGTACATGAATATACAAAGAACACTTCATATTCTTCACTCAGATTCTCCAAATGTTAACATTTATCTTCATTTGCTTTATTGGTTTCTCATTCCTCTACCCCTAAATACTTGTGTGTTTTCTCTTAACAAGAATGTTTTCTTCTAACCACAGCACGATTACCAAAATCAAGGAATTAACACTGATCTGGTACTTCAAAATACGATTTTTGACAGCTCACGTTTCATCCCACTCAAACCGTTTTAGGTGGGGAGCGCTGCTCTGTACTTTGCTACACCACGTGCATTCCTGTATTTCAGTTGCCCTTTTCCTTAGGCCAACTACACGTTTTGTGGCCTAACATAATCTTCACAATTCCATGAATTAAGGTTTTTTTTGGGGTGGTTTTTTGCTTTTGTTTTGAGACGGGGTCTCAATCTGTCTCTCATGCTGTAGTGCAGCGGTAAGATCAAGGCTCACGGCAACCTCTGGCTCCCCGGTTCAAGGGATTCTCTTGCCTGAGCCTCCGGAGTAGCTGGAGACTACAAGTGTGCGCCATCACGCCTAGCTTTTCGTATTTCTCAGTAAAGACAAGTTTCACCGTGTTGGCCACGCCGGCCTGGAACTCCTGACCTCAAGTGATCCGCCCACCTTGGCCTCTCTAAGTGCTGGGATTACAGGCGTATGCCACCATACGGTGCCATGAATTAAGTTCTATTATCAACTTCATTTTAGAGGTGAGTATCCCAAGTCTCAATGAGGGGAAGTGTTGCCCCAGATCAAAAGGTTAATAAATGATACAACAGGAATTCTTATCCCAGGTCCCTTTAGTTCCAAAGGGCAAGCTCTTATATCCCTAAGCCGTGAAGTATCTACACAATAAGAACTTGCATATTACAAAAATTATATTTCTCTACTGTCTCTCTAGATGGAACTTTTCAAATAAATTCACTTATTTTAATAAAACCAGAGCCAAGCATCGTAGCCGGTTCTGACTCAAGATCCACTTCGTGTTTGTTCTACTGAGCGAGAAGCTTCACCAGAAGTCGACAGGTATTCAAGGGTCTCAGCCCCAGAGACTTGATTCATTCTGTCTACTGCGAATGGGCCCCGGAACGCCGCTTTAAAAACTTCTCCAGATAGCCCTGACTAGGCTTGGGATCTACCGCCCTCGCCTGCCCCCATGTATCAGCTGTTTCACAATTGCTACCAGAAAAAGGAAAGGCAGGGAGGGCTATTCTCATGTTACAAAGGGCCAGAGAGGGCAAAAGACTCGTCCAAGTCCACACAGCTTAGAAAAACAGCGGCGCGGGGACTAGACACCGGGTCTCTCAACCTCCACTCCGGCTCGGCGTCCCCACGTGGAAGAAGCCCCGAGCTGGCCGCGTTCAGAGCCCCCTTCTCCAGGATGTCCACCCCGAGGCCCCCACAAGTGACGGGGAGGCCACGCTCTCGGGGAGACTCGGAAGAGCAAGGCGAGAGAGCGCCTTCGGAGGCAGAACTCCGCCATACCTTCCCAGTTCCCAGCCCAGCACATACGAAGCCGCGGGGTCCGGAAGAAAAAAACGCAGACAGGCGGGGGCCTCAAGCCGTAGCCGCCCACTCACCTCAGCTCTGGCTTTACACTGGTAGCCGCCTTCGCCTCTGCAGCCGAAACCAACTTCCGGCCTCGTTCCGGAAGAAGCCACCGACTCTGTTCTTGATTGGCTACAAGAGCTGTCTTTTAACGAGATTCTAGAACCGCCTCAGACCGGGCGCTTGCTCCTGCGCTTGCTTGTATCCTACTCCTCCCCACCCGACGCGTTTGAAAAGTCGCAGTTGCTGGGTATGCTTGTTTCTTCGTTTCTTTTTAAATTTAAGGCATAAAATTTAACAGGACACCCTATTGCTTTATTTTTCATCGACCCCTTATTGACCAGGAACAGTCTTATATTTTAATGTGTAATATGCTCTTGTAAGACGTCCATGAATTTAGGAATTTATGAAACGAAAAGGACCTCCAAAAAAACGCTTGCTATTGCGCCTGCGTTATGTCCCCCCGCCCCGTCCCCCACCAGCTTACTGACTTAGTCGCAGCTGGTAGTTCTATTCCTTCTTTTTAAATTTAACGCATACACTTAAGACATCTTACATAGAAATTCGGAAATATAGGTATGCAGGTTTTTTGTTGTTTCTTTCTTTTAGATGGAGTCTTGCTCCGTCGCCCAGGCTGTAATGCAAGGGCGCGATTTCGGCTCACCGCAACCTCAGTCTCCGGGGTTCAAGTGAGTCTCGTGCCTCAGCCTCCCAAGCATCTAGGATTACGGGTGTATACCACCACATCCAGCTAATTTTATTTTTATTATTTTATTCTATTTTTATTTTATGTATTTATTTTGAGACGGAGTTTTGCTCTTGTTACCCAGGCTGGAGTGCAATGGCACAATCTTGGCTCACCGCAACCTCCGCCTCCTGGGTTCAGGCAATTCTCCTGCCTCAGCCTCCTGAGTAGCTGGGATTACAGGCACGCACCACCACGCCCAGCTACCTTTTTTGTATTTTTAGTAGAGACGGGGTTTCACCATGTTGACCAGGATGGTCTCGATCTCTTGACCTCGTGATCCACCCGCTTTGGCCTCCCAAAGTGCTAGGATTACAGACTTGAGCCACCCAATAGAGACATGGTTACACCATATTGGCCAGACTGGTCTCGAACTCCTGACCTCAAGTGATCTGCCCGCCTTGGCCTCCCAAACTGCTGGGATTATAGGCGTGAACCACCGCGCCCCGCCTCTCCCATCTTAATCCACCACCCCCACCACCCCGTTCGCATATCAATTTATTTGTTGAAGAAATCCATGCACATTGGGCATACCCCAATCCAGCTTTTCTTCTCACCACTGACCCCAGTATGTCCTGCGCCAGTGACTTCCAATGTTCGTTCTCAGCCCTCATGTTACTGCATCTGTCAGCAGCGTTTGGCACACTTGATTATTTGGATTGCTCCAGGACTCAGTTCTCAAACCATTTCTCAGTCGAATATCTCCAGATGATTACATGCAGGCCCTGGAACACTGTTTCCTCTGCACTCCAAACCCTCACATCCTGTGGTGACAGGACTTCTGTACCCGGTTGCACTTCACTCGATTGCAAATGTTCAATCTAAGGAATCATCATTTTCTCCTTTCTTCCATACTCCACGGAAACTACCATACCAGCCTTCTGCATTAACTCCATTTAAAAATAAATAAATAGGCCGGACGCGATGGCTCATGCCTGTAATCCCAGCAGTTTGGGAGGCTGAGGCAGGGGAATCACCTGAGGTCAGGAGATCGAGACCCACCTGACCGACATGGAGAAACCCCGTCTCTATTAAAAATACAAAAAATTAGCCAGGTGTAGTGGCTCATGACTGTAATCCCAGCTACTCGGGAGGCTCAGGCAGGAGAATCGCTTGAACCTGCGAGGTGGAGGTTGCAGTGAGCCAAGATCAGGCCATTTCACTCCAGCCTGGGCAACAAGAGTGAAATTCCATCTCAAAAAAATAATAAATAAATAATAAAAATAAGTAAATAAAGTTCCAAATATGACTGACCACGGTCCTTACTGCTGTGGCCCTATTCCACGCTGCCGTTGTCTCTCACCTGGACTTCTGCAGTAGCTTTGATTTTTGTCCTTCCTTGGTCTATTTACCGCACCGTCTTAAAATGTAAGACCGGTCTTATCACTCCTCTGTTCAAAATCCTCCAAGGCTTTCTATTACTTTTAGAATAAAATCTGATATCTTCCCCCTGGCCTGTATAATAGGCCTTACAAAAGTACAGTCTGGCCTTGGGGCCAATGCATTTGCCTGGAACTCTTTCCATAGGTATTCACACATCTCATTTCCTCATTTCATTCAGGTTTCTGGTCAAATGTGACCTCCAAGAGTTCTTCTGGGGTTACACTACTCTATACAAAATATCATATCCTCAGTCTTTGTCTTGGGAGATGCCCCTGAAACCCTTACTATGTAGTATCTTTTTTTTCATAGAACCTCTCATCATCTGAAGTCATCTTATATTCTATTTTTATGTATTTTATTGCCTTTCTTATCCTTCAAAAATATCAGGTTTATGAGCATGGGACCTTTGTTTCATTCACTGCTATATTCTTTGAAACTACATACAACAATGCCTGAAATTGGCAAATACTCAATGAGCATTTATTGAATAAGTAACAAAATGAATACAATCATCACTTTCAAATAAATTCATGGTGTGACTTTGTTGACTATACCACAGTCTCTTCAGCCAAAGCCTCCTTGTGTTAAATTATTTTTCTCCCAATTTTTGCCCAATAAGTACACAGGGTGATAAGCATGCCAGTGCATATATGTTTGTGCATGGGTCCAATTTTTTCTTTGAAATAAATTTCTAGAAACAAAATTACTGGACCCAAATGTGCAGTGTCTTACAGTTAGTAGCAGAATCACGGCTAGAATTTTGGACTCTTGACTCTCAGTCTAGTGTTTCTTCATATAAACTTCAAATAAATAATGGCTATGAAGTCCATATCATGAGAAGGACTAGTGACAATATAATGTGTGATAAGCATTTAATTGTGTGACTATATTTGCAGAATCTCAACTGAAAGCTTGTTACTTAAAGATGCCTACTATCACTTAACAAGGAATATGCTTGGTCAGTAAATCTGCATTGTGTGTCTGTTGTGCTAGCCCTGGTCTAGAAGGTTAAAAAGACATATAAAAGCTGGTAGGGATTTTTAAGAAAGTGTTCTCTTTATAATGTGTTCAAGAGAGACACAGACAAGAAGTATGCGAACAATTAAAAACTTAAAATAGTGATAAGGGCTGTAGGGAAAATATAATACTGATTAATGTGATAGTGACGTGGGTTAGGGGATAGCTACTTTACACAGAGTGATCAGGGTAGCCTCTCACAGATGGTTAACTTTGGAAACAAGAAATGAAGGAGTGAATTGTGCAGAGATCTGGGAGGCAACACGTGCAAAGAGCTTGGGACTGCCATGATCTTTCTGAGTTAAAGACAGGAAGGGAGCCTGTGTTCTCCATACTAGGGAGCAAAGGAGAGAGAGTTGGGGAGATGAATGGGTAGAAATGGGCAAAGATACATGGTAACTGACTTCTTGCTTCCCTTAGGATCTTGGCACATTTTCAGAAACATTGCTGTCATTTGAACCTAAATGACAAGCAGAAATATTTCGTTTCCACCGTATTAATTTTTTTAAGTTTAGGTTTCTTAAGGTAATTTTACATAGGATAAAATTCACTCTGGGTGAATAGTTAGATGAGTTTTGATAAATAACATACTGGCATAAAACCACTACCACCCTGATTAAAATGGAGAATATTTCATCATCCCAAACAACTTTTTTTTGTTTCAATTCCTTCCCTTTATTTCCATCCTCTAGTAACCACTGATCTGATTTCTGTTCACATAGTTTTACCTTTTCTAGAATGTCATATAAATGTAATTAGGAAGTATATAGTCTTTGGTGTCTGGTTCTTTTCACTTAGCATAATACTTTTGAAGTCCATCAGCATTGTTCAATGTATAATCCTTTGTTCCTTTTCACAGATGAAGAATATTCCATTATATGAATATATTATAATTCATTTATCCATTCACTGGTTCATGGACATTTGGGTTATTTCAGTTTGAGGTGAGTATTAATAAAGCTGCTATAAACATTCCAATGCAAGTCAATTGTATGGACATAAGTTTTCATTTCTTGTTTTTTTCTTTTGTAATCCCAAAGTGCTGGGATTGCAGGCATGAGCCACCACACCCGGCCTGTTTTTATTTCTTTTGGATAACAACACAGTGATAAAATTTCTGGACCTAATAATAATTACATGTTTAACTATATGAGAAACTACCAAGCAGTGTTCTAAAGAGGCTGCTTATTTTTTATTTCTCAGCAATCTAGAGGAGGTATAGTTGCCCTCATTCTGCAGTTGGTATTATCCTTTTAATTTTACTTTTCACTATTCTAATATCTGTATAGTGGTTTTAATTTGCATTTCTGTGGTATTAGGTATCTTTCATGTGTTTACTGGCAATATGTATCTTTTCTTTAGTGAACTGTCTTCAAAATTTTTACCCATTTTTAAAATTGGCATTTTTTTTTTTTTTTTTTTTTTTTTGCTATTGAATTGTAAGGGCAAACATACACACACGCACATGCACACAGGATATAAGTCCTTGATCAGATATGTCTTTTACAAATATTTTCTCCTTGCCTGTGGTTATTCATTTCATTTTCTGAAGTGTCTTTCAGCAAGCAGAGTGTTTTCATTTTGATGATATCTGGTTTATTGATTATTTTATTTTATGGCTTATAGTTTTTGTGTCCTTTCCAAGAATCTTTGCCTGACTCAAAGTCACAAAGATTCTTCCTATTTTCTTCTACGAATTTTCTAATTTTAAGTTTTACATTTAGGTCTATGATCCTTTGGAGGTTAATTTTTGTATTTGATGACCTGTAAGGGTCAAAATTCCTTTTATTTGTTTATGCTTATGGAAGTCCAATTGTTATAGCAACTTGTTAGTTTTGTTGGCCTTACTACCTCTGTCATTGGTAAACAGATTCATAAACAATAATCTCTGAGCCTCTGTTAATCAGTTACATTGTATCTTTGGCTTACTGATCAGCCCAGGCAGAATAATTGGAAGATAGCAAGTAAAAATTTTTA